GTACCAATAGTTTTTGAATTTTTTGCTACTGTTATGAAACATTTTCTTATACATGCTCACACGGCTTCTACGGAGGGCATAACTAATATTACCAATGCTAAAGATTTGATTAGAAACCCAGTGCCACTCAGCAGTATGTATATGAAGAAAAAACTCAAACTCAATTATGATTGTAATGCAAGTATCAAGTTAAAATTTTGATTTTGACATATTTCTATCATTTCATAATTTGAAGATAAGTTTAATCTTGCACTAAGATTATCGTTTTTGATTTATAATATTTCTTTTTCTGAATTCTAGGTTTTTTTTTCTATTAAATTGTTTTGTTGTCAAAAAGAAAAATTATTTTGAAGATATGCTCGACAACTAACTCCATCTGTATTATGTTTGAATATCAAAAAATTTTTCTTATAAATAAAAATCAAACAAAACATACTATTGGTTGTTAATTGAAGGTAGAATACCAAATCCATCGGACGTGGACAGATTTTTTTTTTGTTTTGTTGGTTTGTTTACGTGTACCGTTTTTGAATCTTGATTAAAATACTTTAGAAATTCTTTATCTTATTATTATTTTAGAACATCTTCTTAGTTTGATTATATTATTTATCATTAAAACATGGTAATATTTTTTGTAAAATATTAATTTATTAAAAAATAAATAAATAATGTTACTAACTATTCTAGCCTCTGCGCCTTGACGTTAAGCGCAAATTATCCGTTCGATCAGATCGTGTTAAATGTGTTGATATTCATCCTAATGAACCATGGATTTTGGTAACACTTTATAATGGTCATGCGCATATTTATAATCATGAAACTCAAGTAAATTAATTTAGTTTAAAAAAAAAAAAAGTATTCTTTTTCTTTTATTATTACTTTTTTTCGTCTCTTTTAGCAATTAATTAAAACATTTGAAATATGTGATGTACCTGTTCGTGCTGGTAAATTTATTGTTCGAAAAAATTGGGCAGTTACTGCATCTGTAAATATTATATTTATTTATTAAATCATATCATTGAGTTTTTTTTTTTT